AAATTTCAAAAAAAAAAAACCCCCCCCCCCCCCGGCCCCCCCCTTTTTTTAAAAAACCCCTTTTTAAAAAAAAAACCCCCCCCCCAAAAATTTTTAAAAAAAAATTTCAAAAAATTTTTGGGGGGGGGGGGGGCCCCCAAAAAAAAAACCAAATTTTTTTTAAATTTGGGGGCCCCCGGGAAGGGGGGCCCCCTTTTAAATTTTTAAAAAGGGGGGTTTGGGGGGGGGGTTTTTTGGGGGGTTTGGGGGCCGGGGGGGGGGGGGGAAAAAGGGGGGGTTTTAAAAAAGGGGGGGAAAAGGGGTTTTTGGGGGTTTTTTAAAAAAAGGAAATTTTCCCTTAAAAAAAGGGGGGGGAAAAAGGGCCCCCCAAAAAAAGGGGGGGGGAAAAGGGGGGGGGGGGGGGGTTTTTTTTTTTTTAAAATTTTAAAAAAAAAAATTTTAAACCCCCCCTCCCCCCCCTTTTTTTTGGGGCCCTTTTAAAAAATTTTTTTTTTTTTAAAAAAAAAAAAATTTTTTTAAAAGGGGGGGGGGGCCCCAAAATTTTTCCTTAAAAAAAAAAAAAAAAAAAAAAAGGCCCGGGTTTTTTGGGGGGGGGCCCCCCTTAAAAACCCCTCCCCCCCCCCCCCCCCCCCTTTTTTTTAAAAAAAAAAATTTTTTATTTTTTTTTTCTTTGTTTTTTTTTTTGGGGGAAATTTTTTTTTAAAAAAAAATTTTTTTTTTTTTTTTTGGGGGGGGAAAAAATTTTTTTCCTTTTTCTTATAAAAAATTTAAATTTTGGAATTTTAAATTTTTTCCATTCTCTGTGGAACGGTTTTAAAAAAAAGGGGGCCCTTTAAAAAAAAATTTTATTTTTTAAAAAATTTTTTTAAAAATATAAAAATATATATATAAAAAAAAAATATATAAATTTTAAAAAATATATATATTTTTTTTTTAAAAAAAATATTATATAAAAAAAAAAATTATTTTTTAACACAAAAAAAACCCCCCCCCGGGCCCTCGGTTATTGGCCAAAATTTTTTTAAAGGGGGAAAAAAAAATTAAAAAAATTTTTAAAAACCCCCAAAAAAAAAAAAAAAATTTTTTTTTTTTTTTTTAAAAATTTTTTAAAAAAAAAAAAGGAAAAAAAATGACTAATGAAATGGTTTAAAGAACATTTAAATCACTTTTACCCTTTTTGAAGAGTCTTGGTTTGGGGGTATGCCAAAAAAAGCAAGGAGCGGAGAAGGAGACCCAAATTTTTTCGTTTGGGGACGGGGGCAAAATACTTAAACTGGGTGCTATTTTCAACTCTGTGGGTTATTTTCTATCACAATTCATCTGATATGACCCTAATAAAAAAATATTAATAACATAGAAAATGGGAAAATACTCTTGAATGAATAAAATATGTCATTTCTATATGTAAAAGCTTTAAACGTACATATATGGGGATGGTGCGGCAGCAAGGCCACCAAACCCCTGTTCACACGAAAAAAATGACGAAAATTTTTAAATAAAAAAATTTAACTAAAAAAAAGAAATAATTTTCACTTTGGGGGAGAAGCTGGGGATTGGTTTAGGGGGGTGGAAGATACACAGGGCCCGCATATTATCAGGGCCCTACCACCCCCAAAAAACAAATTTGGGGTTTAATTTCGGGTCGGTTTCCTTTTTTTATCAAAATTTAAAAAAATTTTTGAATTTTTTTAAATTACTACACTGTTAACCCTTTGGAAAGGGGGTTTTGGCGTACAAATACGTCTTAGCGAAGGGGGTTTTTTTCGGGACTAGTACGCAAAAAATTCTAGCGGCCCCTCCCCCCCCCCCCCCCCCCCCCCCCCCCCCCCCCCCCCCCCCCCCCCCCCCCCCCCCCCCCCCCCCCCCCAAACCCCCCCCCCCAAATCTTAAAAAGGGGGAAAAATGAAAGAAGATTTAGGAAAAGGTTTTGGTGAGGGGTTTTCCGGGAAAAAAATTTGGGCCCAAAAGGGTAAAAGTGGGAAACCCCAAAAACAACCAAAAGCCCAAAATTTCCCCTCCTGGTTTTGGGCCCCTTTTGTTCCCCACAGTTCAAAAATTGGGGGACCCGGGAAATTTTAAAGAGGGGAAAATCCTAAAATTTTAAAAACCCAGAAAACCCCAATATTGGGGGGCCCCTTTTTTGTTAGTTTAAGGAAAAAAGAAAACTCCAATTTTCCCAAAAAAAAGGAAGGGGGAAGGGAGGAAGGGGAAATGAGGAAAAACCCAAAGAAGAAAAAGGGGGGGGAGGGGGAAAGGGGGGAGGGGGGGAGGCAAGAGGGGGAGGAGGGCAAACAGGAGGAGGAGGCAAGAGGAGGAGGAGGCAAGGGAGGAGAGGCAAGAGGGGGAGGAGGCAAAAAAGGAGGAAAGGGGGAGGAAGGGAAAAAGAGGGGGGAGGAGGAGGAAGAAGAGGGGGAGGGGAGGAGGGGAAGAAAAGGAGGAGGAGGAAAGGGAAAAAAGAAAACTAATGATAAAAAATAATACAAAAATAAAAAAAATAAATAATTAATAAAACATAAAATAAAATAGGTAATAAATGTTCACCCCTGCAGTAAAAAAATTAAGGGGGGATAAATCTGATAAATGTGACGTTTGATGGGGTAAATGAGGGTAGAATTTATTCCAAAAGATGAATAAACTCTCCCTCCCTTTGTTTTTGCTGGGATACAAAAATTTTTTTTTCTGTCCCCATTTGCCTGTCTGTCAAGCTCCTGTTTTAAAAATTTTAGTCCTGTCTCAGAGGGGCCACAAGAATTTTCATCAATTTTACTCACATCTTTAAGGGAGGTTAGCCTTTGTCGGGTTTCTTGGGTTAAACCTAGGGAATTTATACTATGGGATTTCTTGTATTTATTGTACCCGTGAAGCCCGAGATAAAAAGAAAAAGAAAGAATGAGGGAGAAAAAATAATTAGATAGAATGGAGGGAAAGGGAAACAGCATCCCCACCCCATTGTTTTGACAGGCGGGAGGGGGGAGTGAGAATGAACCTATGTCATTTTGACAGCTGCCGACCCTGGGAATTTACACCCATGGAGGAAAGGAGAAAGGGGGAAGATAGGGGGAAAAGGAAAAAAGGAGGAGGAAGGGGGTGGAGGAGGGGAAAAGGAAGAGTAGGAGGGGAAAAGGAAAAAAGAGGAAAGGAGGAGGGGAAAAGGAATGTAAAGGGGGAAGATTAGGGGAAAAGGGGGGAAGAGGAAGAGGAAAGGGGGAGGGGAAGAGTAGGAGGAAAAGGAAGAGTAGGGGGAAGAGGAAAGAAGAGGAGGAGGAAGAAGAGGAAGAGTAGGAGGAAGGGGAGTGGGGGAAAAAGGAGGAAGGGGTAGGGGGAAAAGGGAAAAAGGGAGGAGGAGGGGGGGAAAATAGTACATGGTTTCTGGGACACTAACATTTCTGCTGTCTATTTGTCTGTCCCGTCAAGCTCCCCGTTATCTGTCCATCCGTCGCTCCGGGCTCAGAGGGGGGGCCAAAAAGACAGTGTCATCCCTTTTACTAAAAATTCCCTTTAAGCAAAAGGGATAGCCTTTGTCTGGATTTTTGGGTTATCCTAGGTAATTTATCTATGGGAACTTGTAATTTTTTTGTACCCGTGAGGAAAAAGAGATGGAGACAGTAGAAAGAAGAGGGGGGATTTAAAAAGGGTTTGAATGAGGGGGAAAGGGTTAAAAAACCATTGTTTTATGACAACCCTGTTTCAGAGTTCCACAAGCTGCAGAAAAAAGGAATATGTTCAGTGCCCGTAAAATTGGGAAAATAATTAAAAGAACAATAATAATAAACAATGTTTTGTATTGTTTGTTTTTGAAAAAAAGTTTTTTTAAAAATATATTTAAATTATGTTTTTTTTGCTTATGGTTGTATACAAAAGTGTATATATTTACATTTTCCCCCTTACTTTGGTTTTCCCTAGGCCACATAAGTTATGTGAAAAAATAAAATAGTGAAAAAAAAAAACAAACCTTCAAATACAAGTAAACTAAAAGTTTACCGGGTGAGCGGCCGTCGCCATGTTGCCTTTCGCGGCCATTTTTTGCAAAAATTTATGGGATCCATATCTCCGTAAATTTATGGGAAATTTTTTTTGTTTACCTATTTAAAGTTCAGAAAAAAAAAACTTTTTTTTTCCCTAAAAAAAATAAATTTTTTTTTTTTTTTTTAAATTTTTGGGCCCACCCTGAGAACGAGTTTCGGAGAGGGCCTGTCCCACCCCCAAAGGGTTAATGCTACACTTTTTGCTGGGTGGGGCAATGCCTTTTTTTGACTCCTGCGCTTTAGAACATAAAATGTCGTAGAATCCTGAAATTTCGAAAAAGGCACATTCTCCTCTCTCTTTTTCCCTTAAATTTTTTACTTTGCTAGGGGTTCTTTTTTGAATTCTATCTTTTACCCAAAAGGGTGGCATTTGGGGAAATTTTTTTTTGGGGGCCCCTGGGGTTATTTCACAGTTGCACTCAATCAATAAAACCCCAAAAAAAATGGTTTTTTACGAAATGTTTGGATGAACGCACAGAACTTCCTCACTCGCCCGAAACCCCCCCCTGACGAATCACGAACACTGCAAAAGGGGAGGTGGATGCGTTCAATCTGCCAAACCCGAAATAATTGGCCCAAAAACCGGGATAGTTTCGGGCCAAAAAAAAATGGGCGAAAAACCCAATTGGGCCCATTCCGAGTGTCCCATATCCGAATTTTCCCCTGTACATACTACATTCAGAATGTTATACAGCCAAGTAAGTACGCATTATTAAATTTCAGTATTATTAATATTATTATTATTGTTATTAAAATACTAAGGTTTTTTTCATTTTTTACACCAAAAATTTTCTTAAGCTGAAAAATTTAAATTTTGCCCCCCCAAAAATTTCAGATTAATGGGTTTGACTGTTTTCATTCTTTTTTCTTTTATTTAAAAGATTTTTAAAGTTTTTTTCTGTAGGATTGGTTTTTTTCTCTAGAACACTTGAAAATTATATTCCCCTGTGATTAAACAGATGTCCAAAATTACAGGGTTGAGCATGCTGTTGGGCAGACCAAGTGTAGCAACCTTCAGTTAAGCTGTTTATCAAGAATATGATTAAAGGCAGACCATCGTTGAGTCTTTCGGTATAATCACAAGCTGGAGTGAAAAATATTTTAGCTGCATTTGTATAAATGGTTTAGAAAACCATTTATACACATGCTGCATACTCTTCTTAATGAAATTCTCTATGATTTTTATTCACGTGATCCATTCTTCTCTTTCCTGTTATTATCTATTAAGAGTTGCAGTGATCATTAACCTGTGATCCAGTCTTGGACCTAAACTAAGCTTTTGTAAATGGGGACAGAAAAACCAATTTTTTATAAATTTTTGATTGGGATAATGCTGCTAAAATAACACATTATATTCAGTCATCATAATTAATATTTAGAAATACTTTTGAGACGAGTTTGAATGCTGTACTAGAAATAAGGTATAGATGAGACAGCAAAAAATTTAAAAACTGGTTTGGTGTATAGCCAGTCCAGGTAGGCATACATGTACTGTGTATTCCAATGCTGCTACATGGGGTCAACATGCTGTGAAAATTAGTTTATTATATTTGAGAAGAAAGGTACTGTACCAATAATTATTTATTTACATTAAAAAATTGATTTGCTTGACTTTTACATGTATTGGTGTACTGTACATTAAAAGAAATTACAAGTGTTGTAAAAATTAGTTGACAGACAAATGTGTCCAGTTTCAGATTTGATGAATTTGCAATGTGTTGTGTGTGCACTGGTTTGGTCACTTCATTATTGAGAAGAATAAGATGAGCTATTTTCCTTGAGGGAATACCTCTCAAACTTTATGGAAATAAGTATAATTAAATTTATAGGCAGACTTCACATTTGAGAATAAAACACTTTTTTTTTTTTGTAATAAAAGGTAATTATTTCCTCTTTTAATATTTGAATTTCATTAACTTTAAGCATTATTTTAAAATTATGAAAGGCAATATGTAAAACAATAATAGAGGTTTTATTGAGAAGAGGTTACCTATACTTATGTATTACCTTCCCGCCCTCATACACGGGGGTTAACTTTTTCAGGAATTTTGCCATCTGTGGTACTGCACAAAATTAGAAAAAATCTGAAGAGGTTTAAGTTTTAAATTTTGTACTTTTGAAAATGAATATGACTTATTAACACTACTATTTCTTACTTTTGGGCATTAATGACAATCACTTTTTTAAATTAATTGATAGACACAATGAGTAATAGGAAACTTTATAAAGCCTAAGAAATGGGGAAGCACTGCAGCAGACCTACTGGCTCATGCTTGGCAGGTCCAGTTCACACCCACAACCCAAATCTGTACTTGTTTAACTTAATTTTTAAAGCTACCCAATGTTTTAGCTTTAAGGGACACTATTTGGGAGTTTGTTCACTTAACCTAGCCCCATTATCAATCCATTGCTTTTGTATAGATTTTTTTTAACACATTTATACCCCTTTTATTTTTTCCCTGTCTTCCATTTATACTTTTCAGTTGTATTCCTCTAATTCTATGCCTTTCCATTTGAGTGCAGATTTAGTGCTTTTCGTCTCTCCTTGTAGGAGGGATTTTTGTACTGAGATAATGCACAGTAAGCCTGTTTTATAGACAAAATTTCTTAAATAAATTTAATTACCATTTGTGTCCCTGTCATATGCAATTTGTTGGTATTCCCACACCATCTGTCTTTACAACCGTTTTTTTAGTCCTATGTTGTAATGGCTATTAAATTACCACAAGTTTTATTTTATAAAATTCCATAAGGTTGGTTAGAGGACATGGTAAACTCCAATCATTAGTCAGTGGTATTTACTATCATAAAACATAGAGAATTACCTTGAAAGACTATACAAATAATGTTGGCTGTTCTAACTGTGGCATGGATGATTTTTGCTTAGTTCAAATACTAGTGATATTCATGTTACCAAATAAGATATAGAGGCATAACAATTAATTACCATATCTGGTGTCTTGTTTCTCCAGAACTCTAAGGTAATGGCAATGATGAAAGGTGTCTTCAGGTCAGCTTATTTGTGTGTACAGTGGACCCCCGGTTAACGATTTTAATCCGTGCAAGAGGGATAATTGTTATGCGAAATAATCGTTATGCGAATGAATTTTCCCCATAAGAAATAATGGAAATAAAATTAATCCGTGCAAGACGCCCAAAAGTATGAAAAAAATTTTTTTTTACCACATGAAATGTTAATTTTAATACACACAAACTGAAAAAGGCATGCACAATTACATGACACTTACTTTTATTGAAGATCTGGTGATGATTGATGGATGGGAAGGGAGGAGGGGAGAGCATTATCTTCTTACTGTTTAGAAGGGGAATCCCCTTCATTACGACTTGAGGTAGCAAGTCCTTTTCCGGGGTTACTTCCCTTCTTCTTTTAATGCCACTAGGACAGCTTGAGAGTCACTGGACTCTGTCGCACAACAAATCTGTCCATTAGAGCTCTGTACCTCCCGTTTCCTTTACGATTTGTCTAAAATGGGCCCACAACATTGTCATTGAAATAGTCACCAGCACGGCTTGCAACAGCTGTGTCAGGGTGATTTTCATCCATAAGGTTTGCAGTTCAACCACTGTGCACACATTTCCTTAATCTTTGAAGTAGGCACAATGGATTCACACAACTGGCATAGGCTTATCAGGGTTAGCCCCAAACCCTTCAAAATCTTTCTTAATTTCCATACTAATTCTCACCCTTTTTACCACAGGGTTGGCACTAGAAGCTTTCTTGGGGCCCATGGTCACTTATTTTCCAGAAACAGCACCGAAAACACTGTAATAATACGAAATATTCCGAGTGTATGCTTGGATGTTACCGCGGAGGCTGGCTGGTAAACAATGGGACGGGCGGCACATGTGAGGGCACATTGGACGCGTCTCGGACGAAAATCGGTGAGCGGGTTTTTAATCGGTATGCGCGGCAAAAATTTTGCGATAAAAGTAAGCGGTATGCGGAAAAATCGCTATGTGATGCCATCGTTATGCGGGGGTCCACTGTAGTTCTGTAACTTCTTGTATCCCTTTTATGCCATCATAGAACTTATTCCTTCTGTAATCCTACAATTTTCCTTTACATGATGGCTTTATATCCATCACTTTAAACCCCACTATACTTAACCCTTAAACGGTCCAAATGTATATATACGTTCATGCGCGTAGCGCCCCAAACGTATATATACGTTTTCTTTGTCATTCATTCAACATTGCCACAATAAGCCTGAGTCACCTAGACATGAGAGAATGGGTGTGCGCACTCACTGTGCGCCATATTAAAATAATTGGGGATGCCTTGGTACCATATGCTCTTTTTTCCTTTTAAAAGAAAAGATTTTTTTTCCTCAAAAAATTTGGGGCGCTATGCGAGTGAATGTATATATATGTTTGGACCGTTTAAGGGTTAATTTTGTAGATTTTCTATATGCCTGTCATTTTCAACCTCTGTCCAAATTGTCATCAGAGCAAAAGTTTTGTTTTTGCCCACTTGCTTCAAGTCTCCTCTTTCCAGTGCATCTTTTTATCTTCCTTGATTATTTTCATTCTCTCAATCTGACTTTCATACTGTGGCTGTGGGCACCAATGGCTGCAAGTCTTCTGACGGAATGGGATTCATGGCTGGTTTTCCTGGTGGCATTATCCAAGGATGCTTGCTGGAGATGGACAAGGTTTTTGCAGTCTACTTCTTACTGCTATCATCCTCCCTACCTCTGTGTTTGCCTCCTCATTTATTGCATTCTCAGACTCCCAGTGTGTATTGCAATCAGTCAGGGTTTTGATTTCTCAGATCTTTGTCTTTACATTCAAAATTGGGTAATTAACACTAAAATAAGTATACCTAGAAAATCTTTCACCAGTTCTCAGGCCATTTGGTGTTCGGGACAGTAAGCTGTGAATTCTATGGCTCTCATGGTTCGGGACTTTCCAGTCACCGTTGAGGGATGCCATTTTCCTGCTATTTTCCATTACACAAATAACCCATATATAGGAGACTGAACATATGGTAAAACATTTTGGTCTGACTTTGACCATTAACAAGTCACACAGAAAAGCTTCTCTGATTGACTATTTAATGGTCCAAGCTGGATCAAAATATTGTCATACGTTTCAGTCTCCTATGTGCTTGTTATTTGTATTTTGCTCCAGTCACAGTATTGTGCCTTTCTGTTCTTTGTTTTCCATGACAGTAAATCTCAATTTACAAACTGTTATCTGTAATTACAGTCATTGCAAATATTCAAACAAGTTATCTTCAAAAAATATTTGTTCTTGTTTTTTTTTTTTTACTAAATGCATGCACCTAGGTACATAGGAACTTTCACCTTTCCATATGTCCAGGCACTTCATACACTCACCATAGCAGTGACTGGCATGGGCAGGTGGGGTGGAGTGCTTGGCATGGGCAGGTGGGGTGGAGTGCTTGGCATGGGCAGGTGGGGTGGAGTGCTTGGCATGGGCAGGTGGGGTATGTGCTTGACATGGGGTGTAGTGTGGGAGATGGAGTACAGTGTAGATGTTGTGTAGAGATATATTACATTGTGGAGGTAAGGTACAGTGTGGGGGCATAGTACAATGTTGGAGGGGAGGGGAGGAATGGAATCCAGTGTAGGGATAGTGTGAGTGGTGAAGAGCAATGTGGACATAAAGGAAGTGGTGGAAATATAGTGTCTGGCTGGAACACAGTAAGTAGGAAGAGAAGGAGAAAATTCAAAACAGGAAGTAAAGGTAATATGAGAGAGGGAAGAGTACTGTGTATTGTTATTTTTATTTTCATTGTTAAAAATAAATTAAATATTGAGTATTATAGCTGAGTAATGCATCTCCAGTTATAACATGATGCTCTGTTGGAAAATAGTTTAATTTCTGGACAATCAACAGTTTTCAGGAATGCATTAAAGTCGTAAGTAGGAGACAGCTGCACTTTCCTAATGCATTTTTGATTGCTGGCGTGCTATTAGTCTGATTTGATGATCAGCAGACTGTTCTGTTTCAGATTACTGTTGTATTACTGGATGACCTCTTTTTGTCACTTGATTTTGGGAAACAGTACTCACACAACTTCATATTAGATGTGTAAGACTTGGACAAACACATCATGTGAGAGATGCTTACCTTGCCTCTTCATGGGCTATTATTTTTTTTTTCAACAAACTGGCCGTATCCCACCAAGGCAGGGTGGCCCAAAAAGAAAAACTAAAGTTTCTCTTCTTAAATTTAGTAATTTATGCAAGAGAAGGGGTTACTAGCCCCTTGCCCCCGGCTTACGGAGGAAGAATTCTGTTCCACTTCCCCATGGAGATAAGAGGAAATAAACAAGAACAAGAATTAGAAAGAAAATAGCAGAAAACCCACAGGGGTTTGTATATATATATGCTTGTACATGTATGCATAGTGTGACCTAAGTGTAAGTATAAGTAGCAAGATGTACCTGAAATCTTTCATGTTTCTTTCTTTCTTTCTTTCTTTCTTTCTTTCAACACCCCACCGAGACGGGGTGGCCCAAAAGGAAAAACGAAAGTTTCTCTTTTTTTTTTCCCCCCAACAAACTGGCCATATCCCACCAAGGCAGGGTGGCCCAAAAAGAAAAACAAAAGTTTCTCTTTTTAAATTTAGTAATTTATACAGGAGAAGGGGTTACTAGCCCCTTGCTCCCGGCACTTTAGTCGCCTCTTACAACACATGGCTTATGGAGGAAGAATTCTATTCCACTTCCCCATGGAGATAAGAGGAAATAAACAAGAACAAGAACTAGAAAGAAAATAGCAGAAAGCCCAAAGGGGTGTGTATATATATGCTTGTACATGTATGTGTAGTGTGACCTAAGTGTAAGTAGAAGTAGCAAGACATACCTGAAATCTTTCATGTTTATGAGACAGAAAAAAGGACACCAGCAA